CCAACGGTATACTGTTTTTCTCAGACGCGGAGGGATACTGACTTGTTGTGAAAAGTAACTTACAATTCTACCCGTGGTATACGCTCAGTATATCACGGCTAAGAACCAATCAGATTGCTTGATTTGACTTGTCCGTTGGTTTTTGACTTGCCGTTCCTGAGACATGTCTCACACGGGGTTAGAACCTGAGCCCGGAGTACTCTGCAGAGTGCTTCGTGATTAGGAGATTGGGTGATGTATTTGTATGTTTTACCATTAAAGCAGATTATTGTTTAACTTGTATTCTGGTGTTTCTTAATCCCTTCCTTTTTACGAATTTACCCAGCTTATCAAATGACACGCGGAGACGAGGTTGGTTTTAAACATCCTCCAAATCTCCAACAGTACACACATGTACCGAACCGAAGGGCCCATACCGAATAATTTTGGTAAGAATACGTATACCGTTACACCCCTACTTCAATGACATGATTTTTATATATCTGAGACCTATAATATATGCCTAACAATAGTATAAAAAGAGACCTTTAAAGTAACACACTGCTTTTCAGATTATAAAACACATTTAATTCAAAATGATGGGATTTACCTGCTTACCATTCCATTTAGTCACTACCGAAACGATCATGTCAATTACCGAAACCTAACCATACTGTATGTTTCGGTAGTGACTGTTTCGGTAGTGACGATTCTAGCTAAAATTGAGCATAACTAAAGAATGCTAGCATGTACATGGCTAGCATACACGTCTCTGAAGAGGTTTACACACATAAAAACCTAATACTTTGCATAAAACCCAGAAAAGGTTTACTTAATTGAAGATAATATGTGTTCGGTAGTGAAGGTTACACCCCGATTTTCAGATTTTGGAACAGATCTATATCAAAAGTATGGGATATAGCTAATTGCCATTAGCCATGAGGGCAGTTTGTTTGCCCCTGTTCTGCTTGAAAGCAAGTACCTGCCTCCTGCAAACTGTTAAAACAAACGCTTCAACTTGTACCATTTTTAATCTGTATTTTTGAATATGGATCTTAAGTTGGCGTGACGTCGAAGTCGTGCAACTCTGCTGTACTCGTCTGTAGTTGCTTTATAGCATAACGTTATCATTTTGCTTCTGGCAATTCGATTTATGATTAAAAAAATTACAAAAGTAGGGTAGACATGTGGAGATTATCCGGCTGAACAAAACGTGCATTTATCAAACATGTTCGTTTTCCACAGACCTTATTTCGAGCTATTTTCCAAAATCCTATGGAGAAATCCCAATGCTTTTTTGTCGAAGGGAACCCATGTGCAGCTTACTTCCGGGTAAATACGTCATCCCTGCACCACTCTATTAAGATTAAAACTGTAGGATGTAATAGTTTAGTCATAAATAAAACTTCAGGTTAAAACTCAAATGTCCAAGATGGATGTTTTTAAAGGGGAAGTACATCATTTTTACACATCAAAGTCTGAACCAGAGAGAGCTCCATGAGGTAAGATGATTTACCTCTTGACTTTAAAATTACTCAAAAGACATGCCTGTTTGCTACCCTGGCTCCTAGATGGTGGAATGAGCTCCGGACTGAAGAAACTCTGCATATCTTCTGACGCAAACTGAAAACGCATCTGTTTGGACTGTACCTTGGCAATTAAGTTATTGCTGAAAAAAAGAAAGCACTTGTTGAGTTAATGTAGGCCTTGATGCACCAGCACTTACTATGGTATGATCTTGCTTGAAGTGAATATATTTGCACTTTTTGTTGTTGTTTGGAGTTTGATTATTTTTGGTTTGTGCACCCATTGTAAGATGCTTTGGATAAAAGCGTCAACTAAATGTTATGTAATGTAATGTAAAATCATCTGTAAGAATTAAGTGAGCCAATCAGAACTGATGATCTATGCACAGTCATCAGCTACAGGTCTGTTTATCAATGACCATCAAACCATGGGTTCCTCCATCTCCCTCTTCTCTCTGTTCTCCTTGTTCTCCTCCACAGGCCTGTTTGGTGGTGGCTGTGCCTTGAAGATAGCTTTTTTACAAAGCGTGAGAATGGGCTTGTCTGGCCGAGCCTGACGCAGATCACTGGATGGAGTAGTCATGGTATTGGGATTCTGATTTACAGCAAGGACAATGCAATTAATATACAGTCAAGCTCTCACCACAGAATCAAAGTTAAGATCTGAGATTAAAAGATAATACATTATTACTGAAATCGGCCAACAACTACTGTCACTCACCTTCCACTGTGAGATCAAAATGAATGCTGGGATGCTTATCAATGGAGTTAAGACAAGTATCGTGCCCAATATGCCCCAATGTGAACCGATTTTATAACGATACACGAAGACTTCTTTTTTTATACTCAAGTCATACATCATTGTGGCCTAGGGGAGAAGAAGAGATCAAGTTAATGCTGAATTGTAAATCAATTGTTGCAGTGTGTTTTGCAGTGCAATAAAAGAAAGAATTCTGACCAATAGAAAGAAGTGGAAAGAAAGCTATTTGTAATTTCAGGAAGCACATTCTTTGCATCAAATTTAATGTGTTTTTGTGATTTATTTAGCCTAAACATACAAGAACACTGTTTGAATGATCAATAAGAATAACTACGAGGGCTGTACAAAGATATTTTACTGATCATTCTGTGAGGTGTGTTAATTAAATTAAATACGTTAAACACTCAGCAAAGATAGAAAGCAAGGAGAGAGAGGAAGAGGAAAGGCAAAGATCTGTTTTCAGAAGTAATATCAGGTACAAAACAATGAGTACATATGCAAACATGACAGGAAATACACATTAAAGTAGATGAATGAAGTATAGGAGACAAGTGTGAGTATCTCACCCAACAGATGAGCGGCGTGATGAACATCCAGCAGTACTTCAGCAAGGGGAATGGTTTGTATCCGATCATGTCCTCAATGTTGTCATAGAAACGGTCCGCACCTGGACAGAAAATGTAAGCCAACCAAAAGGATCAAACTGGTTTCCTATTTGAAACAAAAACACATCGGGTCAATAAATAATAAACCCAGAGAAATGGCTTCATCTTTGTGAAATCCTGAGGCATCTTTCCCTAAACCCGTCCATACTTGATTGACTAGTATTGTACGATTTTTTTAAAGAAATATTTCCATTTAATGCAACGTAACCACTCTACTCCACTACAATAACTTTATATTCAAATTATTGTACTTGATAGTTACTTTGCAGATGGAGATCTTGCATACAAAACTTTAAGTCAGTTCATTAAATGTATTGCATTCTGATAGACTAAACTACCCAATATTATAGAAAGTAGTTGAAATGAACTCCACCTTGAGAAATGACAACATGAAAGGACCACCTTGATAGTAATACATCAACAATTATTATAACGCAGATGCTATTTACACCCTTGTGACTATAGTGATCAAATGCTATTTGCACCCGGGTTTATGTAACCACTTATTGGCTATTTACAGCCGGGTGTATATAGCATTGCAGAAACACATGCATCCAGGTATCCATAGTAGACATTGCTATTTACAGCTGGGCATACATTTGTTTATGTTTTAAATCCATATGTGTTTTTGGAATTGTATTTGTCTTTGATTACTAGTAGTACATACAAGCAGAAGAGAAAACTACAGAAACAGGAGCGGTGCATGTAACAACATCCAGAGATTGATTTGTGGGAATGCAGAACAGCAGATTCATTTGTCAAAATGATGCGGGAAAGCAGACACAGCTCGAAAAATGACACAATAATCCACCCCTGAAACTACGTTCACGTACACAGTGAAGGAGAGAGTACTCATTTACATTTTCATAACACAGACTCACTCAGAAGAGTAAAATTAATGGCTAAACAACTCAACGTAGGGATGAGGAAGTCGTTGCAGAAAGAATATATCACTCTGCATTGGTTTGTGGCAGAAATAAATTTATTGTTTTGTTTACATTGACGGGTGTGCTGAGGTGCCGTGCTAGTCAATCTGCTGGTGTGGTTGGGTTGTGGTGGCAGGTGCTCCTGGTGTGAGGGCCGCCGCAGAAAGAGTAGATGTGCATTAGGCGGCAGCTAGAGAGAGAGCAGCCTAGGTCATTGAAGTTGTTACACACCATCCTGCCTCCCTGGTAGAGGATTGGCCTTCCGGGTCTGTCGACGCCCTTTGAAACGGGGGCGTTTGCTGATGAACGTTTGTTTGCGGGCCTAGGGATGATGGGAGGTGGGGGTGCGGCGGGTGATAGGCGGTTGAAGGCTGAGGCGTTGCCTCTTGATGGAAAAGGGAGTGAGCGGGGTGGTTCAGGAGGTGGGGTGCTGACTGAGCATGCTGAGGCCGGGTGGGAAGGGGCTCCGCATAATTGGCAATAAAGGGATGCGCGTGCTGCGAAGATGCGGAAGTAAAGCTCAGAGTCCAGAGCTTCCCAGTATGTTCCCTAGTTAAACTGTTTAATGTGGCCGGCGGCTTGGCTAGCGAAGTGGACGTGGTACAGTAGGTGTTGAAACCTGAGTAAGGCCATGTCGAGCTCTATGAAGAGGTACTCGTCTAACTCGGTTCTGCGTGTGGGATAGACTGAGCAGATGACGTTGCGGTAAAGGGAAAAAGCTAGGGCGAACTCTGCAGGGGTTAAGTCCTTAGACCTCAGACCTTCCCTGGGCTGGCTAGTGTTGATGATTGATGGCTGGAGTAGCTGATCTAAGTGTACGTAGTTACAGAGGAGAATCTGCTGGCGCAAGACGGGGGACACGGGAGAAGGGCGATAAACTGAGGAGGCTGGTTGTGTTGAGGTGGTGTTGCTGTGGCTAGAGTGTAGCTGGTTGCACAAGGAGAAACGTTGGAGTTGAATGACCGTCCACTTCCTGAGTTCGGGCTCTGTTTCGGAACGCGGCTCCGTCCGAGAGGCGTCTCGAGTACGCCGCGGCGAGTGGCCGGGGGCTGCGAATGAGGCAGGTTGCTGGTGGTGGGGAGATTGGAGCTGGCTGTGCCTCTTGTGGCCCCGATTGTTTGCCCTCGCTGGCGGAATAGACGAAGCCTGGGACCTATCTGGAGTTGGAGGTATTTCGTTGGGGGAGCTTGATTGGAAGTGGTGGCTGGTGTGTGGGACACTGATTGCCGAGCGGCTCCGTTCGGATGCTTGGCTTTGATCCGACTGCTGAGCTGTGGATGGCGGATAGCCGATGTCGAAGAGATCTTCGCCTGACCGTGACGACGCGCAGCGTCAATCGAGGTCTCCCTGTCTGTCTTTGAAAGAATGGAGACAAGCAGTGGCCGGAAGTTTGGCCGGATATAAATAGGGGTGGCCGTGGTTAGAGACGGGGTTTTAGGCGTGGCCATGCTCCTGAACCTATGTTAACAAGTTAAGTTCATTTGTGGTGTTGAAGGTGAATGTGTTTACCCCACCAGCCCCGGGGTTCAGTGATCTTCAAAAAACCGCCTGGTGGTTCAGAAAGAGTCCAGAAGAATCCAACTGGGTTCAATAGCTTCCATTCCTGTTCTCTGTCTGCAGTTGAGTGAGATCTCCTTCCTCCTCCTCAGCTCTCAGGTGTGACCTATGGTCTTGATTACCTTCCTCCAGCTCTCAGGTGTTAGCCACTCCTTTAATGGATATTTCTTTAGTTTTGTCCCCCGACCTGCTACATTTGTTTTATTTTGTGGGAACATGTGTTCTATTTTGTTGATCAATGTCCTAACAACACGCTGATTTTTCAAATAGTTGTTCTGACTTGAGGTTGTGTTCACAGGATATCTTTTCCATTACGGAACTCATATGCGACGCTATATGAATGCCTCACAAATGACCTTTTTGGAGAAGGTAAAAAAGTATATAAACATTAAGGACATATTCAAGAGTTTAAGCCCATAACTTGAACCATTTATATTGGCAGCTTAGCCTTTGTATTTCACTTTAATTACATTCATGGGTTTACAATAAGGCTGAGAGGGTCACAATTAAAACGGTTTACGTTTAGAATCAGATTCAGATTCAGAATCAGAATCGGGTTTATTGCCAGGTAGGTTCACACGTACGAGGAATTTGACTTGATGTATTGGTGCATACATAAAAATAAAAACAAAGATTTTTAAAAGTACAGTACACAGATAGCGAACTATATTAAGAACACTGTAATACAAATACAGTAAGATAGCAATAAAATAAGCAGTAATTTACATACAAATAGAATGCAATAAATTATAGAATATAAAATATGTGCAGTAAGCAATATTTAAACATTGTGTGCATTAATGTAATGCGTATAAAGTCTGCGTTGTGGCTTAGGTAAAGTGTCAGTGGGGGGGCCGGGCCTTTTTTAAGAGACCGGTAGCGGAGGGGAAGAAACTGTTCAGGTGGCGAGAGGTTTTGGTCCTGATGGAGCCTCTGCCAGAGGGGGGGGGTGAACAGTTTGTGTCCAGGGTGGGAGGGGTCAGCCGGATTTAGTCACAATGTTCCTTAGAACCTCACAGGAAGGAGAGCTGTGTTCTTGTTCTCTTGTATTTCAGTTTTTTCAGCAAAACCCAATTGATATAACACAAAGAAACAACTTCAATGGTTTCTTTGTCATTTCTTGGCCTATTTAGCAACTCATTTATGGAGACACTGTCAAATGAACAAACTCAGAAAAACGTAGCGTTTGTTTGTGGGTATTTTCTTAAACCAAAAGTACGCCATCTACTGGACTGAAACAACATCGAGTGGCTTTCTGCTAATCCTATTCTTTAAATACAGTATAGACATTTAGAATATTTAATGACGTTTTCAATGGTTATCTATCCTGCTGAAATTACTCATCATTTTGGATAAATCCTCTGAGCTCTCTCTGCCTCCCACACCTTCATTACTGGCTAAATTACAACACGTGGGTGGAGTTCCTCTGTTCTCATAATGCTGTACATCTCATCTCTCAGAGCATCTGTATTGCATACTCTAAACCAGGGGTGGGGAACCTTTTCCTTCTCAAGGGCCATTTCAATTTTTTCAACATCCTCCGAGGGCCGTACAAATTATTGACCTCTGCTTAAAAAAAACTAAAATCACAGCACATTCATTTGGCCTTTCTTTCATGCTGTGCAAAGAAAAAACAACCTCTTAATCCAGATATACCAAAACAGAAAGATATGGACACAAGATGTGAGCAAATGTATTTAGTTTCCTATCCATGTGGACATGATTTAAGTGGGGGAGGACCTAACCTCCTCTACGGGGGTCCGGGGGGCATGCTCCCCCGGAAAGATTTTTTTTAAATGTTGAAGTTAAATGCATCAATCTGGTGCACTTTGAGAGCAACATTAGGAGATCTATGACTACATCTCTCAACACCCATATGAAACAGAACTGTAAGCAGATTTATTTTTCTTTATGGATATTTTACAAATCACTCCCCTTTCAAACTGTATTCTTGTTTATTAATAACAACTTTATTTTACTGTCATATAGTATTTTATACCAGTTTACTTTATTATCTTATTTTTTTATAATAACTATAATGATTATATAAAGGTGTGCCTTTACCTCAGTGGTTGTAGAAAAAGCTTCTTATATTCGTTAGCATAGCTAACTAACCAGATGCTAATAACAACTAAGTTATTGACTGTATGATCAGTATGACAGATGAACAGATCGCCACTGGGCTTTCAACTAAAGACACAGCCACGCAACAACTGCGGCATGTGTACGGCTCCTTATGGGTAGGCTACTGCCATTTTTGGAAGTGCCGGAGCGGTGTTCTGGTGCTCTCCGTCAGCACAACACCTCTGTCAGACGAGACATAATTACCACGTGATGACACGTTAGGCCCGTGTTGTGTTCAAGGACCCTGACTTTGGCCAGGAAAAACAGGCACTCGCTTGTTTCATTTTTTTGCGGTCTAGATTTCTTTCATTTTTTTCTTTTTTGCGTGTGTTTATAAATCACCTCGAGGGCCGTGCCAAATGGTCTCGCGGGCCGTATACGGCCCGGGGGCCGGAGGTTCCCCACCCCTGATGTAAACGAACTAGCTACCGCCTTACAAAATCATCCAGATAGACAGTTTTTGACTTTCTCACCAATGGCTTCACCCACGGTTTCTAACCGACATAGAGATACTGCTTGACACATCTCACAACTGCCACAACCAATCCGCTTTAACAGAACACCTTACTGGCCAAACAAGTCAAAGAAGGATTCACGATAGGCCGATTCGATAATCCCCCCTTTCCAGTGTTCCGCATTTCCGGGAAAAAGAGGCTCATAATAGACTTGTCTTCTCCACACGGCTCAGCCATCCCGAGAATTAACAGCGTCAACCCAAGCCCAGACTTTTCGATACAATACGCACACATCGACCATGCCATCACCCTCATCCGCTCAGCAGGCCGCGGAGCATGGCTTTCTAAAGCAGACATCACCAGTGCATTCAAAATCTTGCCTATCCACCCAGACTTCTGGCGTTTGTACGAGTGTACTAGAAGGGAGCTTATTACTTCTCAGTACGCCTCACATTCGGCTGCAGAAGCAGTCCCAACATCTTTGATTCCCCCCTCTGTGCTGGATCTTGACAAACAATCACAGACTCCCCTACAGTACGTGCTCCATCTTCTTGACGACTTTCTCATCTTCACTCCACCATCTTCACCCCCCCGCCATGGGCTGAACACACTTATACAAACATTTTCAGACCTTGGCATCCCTCTGTCTGAAGAGAAAACCTCAGGGCCTAAAACCTCCATTGAGTTTCTAGGCATCACCCTGGACTCAATGTCTTTCCAGGCTTCTCTATCCTCAGAGAAAGTACAGCGCATCACTCTCCTCTTGTCAAACTACTTACAGGCAGACAGATGCACGAAACGGCAGCTGTTAGCCCTCCTCGGCCACCTAAATTACGCCATCCGCATAATACCTCAAGCAAAACCCTTCTTGTCCAACCTGCTGAACAGAGCGGCGTCAGTTCCCTCCATCCACGATCGATTAGTTCTCGACGATGCATGCAAAATGGAAATGCATCTTTGGCAGGATTTCTTGTCCTCGTGGAACGGCATCTCCTTCTTCTATGACGACTTCATCACCAAAAGTTTTGACAATTTTAAATCTTTTAAAAGTATGTGCTTTATTTATAAATGTTTACATGAACCCCCACTCTGAGTCTCCCACTGCACGGACCACAGCACATCCTCCCAGAACAGAACATCCCTTCACCCCCCTCATATCATTCATTTTTTACTTCTGCAATAAACCTACAAACATCACACTGTTTTGGCGTGGTTCCTGCTAGTGAAATGAAGTTAACTTGTTAACATAGGTTCAGGAGCATGGCCACGCCTAAAGGACAATACAAGTTTCTCACACAAAATAATTTACACTCGATCATCATGGTTTTAGATAGATGATTCCTCTTTGATTCAAGTAATTAATTTACGTTTGTTATTTAAATCGCCTCTTTTTGGGTTTACGTTTTTTGGTAATGGGGCTGTGTTGTGATTTGTTTGTTTTGTGATACATTGATTCTGATTTTGATCCAAATACAGACATTTTACTTTGCAAATTGATGTATTATTTGATTTGTGTTTGTACCTTCCGTAGCTATGTCAACGGGCTATCCCTCCATCTGTTTATTTAAATGTAAATTTCTTATTTTTTGACAGATAAATATATAAAATACTCTTCTGTCTTGTGCCCACATTTAATTCAATACTTAAGGAAGAAAACCTACGCTACGCAATGATGGGGAAAGATTTAAATATGAATCTGTGTGCTTAGCAGCTGGTGGATATTGTTACAGATTCTCAGAAACTATGCACCAATAGCCTAAGAGGAGTGTATCTGCAGCATAATGTGGTGCATATGCAAAGCAATGGGGGGGAATACGATTATGGGAACCTTATTCCAAATATTCAAGAACAAAAATGAACACAGGATCCATTCATCTTTTCAATCTCATAAAAATGTCCTGTTTTCTTTTGTCGGTAGATCTCTTTTAAATATAATTTAGATTACAAACTATACCGTGGATATCAAAAGCTGGTTTCTTACAGATAAGATTTTACAGATACAGTCAGTTAATTACACAGATGAAACAAATGCTGCTGTCAGAATCGCATGAGCTCAAGAAATGTAATGAAGGTACCCAAAAGCTAAATTCATCAGATATCTAGTTCTTCAGAAATGATTTTAAACATTGCAGCAGTAATTCAATGCTGCATACCAGTGCATGATACAAAGCAACGTGCAGTGATGGCCAATGGCATGACTTACCATACACCCAGGAAATGACAATGCACTCAAAGCAGGCAATAAAGAGGAGACTGATTCCACTGGGGCCGTAGGTGTCAATCAGCTGGAAGACGAACATCCCTCCCTGAAACATGAGCATGAATATAATTACTGCCTGAGAGTAGTCTGCCTCCGACCACCTGTCACATTGCAGTTTACACAGAGTGTCGTCATTTTATCTTAGTGTTTATAATGCATTTTTTAAAATCAGCATATGAATTATTGGGTAATGGCTAAACATGTGTCCTTCAAAGTGACGTTTGACCACCAAAATCGAATCAGTACTTACTTACAGCCAAGAAATTATCCAATTAGCACCAAATGTAATCGCAAATGTAAAGGTTGTTGGTCATGGACATTTAAAAAGAATCACCTTATATCAGTGCTTAAGGAAAAATGAAGGGATAGTGAACGTTATAACAAGTCTTTTTATGAATAATTCAGAAGCAAATGTCATGACATATCTATCCAATAGCTGTCTCTCTAGCTAATACTGGACCAATTAAAAAAAATAGTTATACAGTAGCTATAGTCACATAGACACAAAGATATGGACAACTATCATCCAGATTAAGAAAAAAAGCGTCCCTTGAACATACAAATAAAGGTCACACAGTACTGCGAGTGCTAATCTATGTCTATGCTGTTATTAGATCATTAGTATCCTCTATGTCCTTATTTCATGAAGCATGTCCTCACCTCAGTAAGGCATGGCAGCCCCAGCAGGAAGCAGACGACAGCGATGACCAGGACCAGGATCTCCCTGTGGCCGCGCCTCCTCAGCTGACCTGGGAACATGTCTGTGAGGCCTGTGGCCAGGCTCTCCACACACACAAACTGTGAGGAGGGGAACACATTAGCTAATTTCATAGTGAGGAAACACTGCATACAGTATGATAAATGACATACAATACCTGTGAGTCCAGGCCCAGGAAGAGGATCATGAGGAAGAAGAGCACAGCCCAGAAGGACGAGCCAGGCAGCAACGACAGAGCCTTTGGATAAGCGATGAAGATCAGACCAGGACCTGGAGAAAGCACATAAAGGATTCTATCAACACATCAGAGTGTTAGGGATTTAGAGTCTTCTAACATAGCCGTTCCCAACCTAAATCTGTCATGAAAGGTTATAGCCTAATAATGACAAAAAATAAACATTTTTCAAATGACCCTTTGAGGTGTCCCAAAACTCAGGCCGGAGAATTTATGTTTTAACACATTTAATAATAGCTTCAGTTTAATATATGCCGTTTTATTGCGTGTTGCTTTCCTAAAAAGAAGGAGGTCATTCAACAGAACTGTGTCTGGACGTTATATGCCATCTTGTGGGCATTGGTGGTTGTTGTCACTGCAAACACTGAAGCCATAATGTGAGAAAGTAAATGGGCAACTACTTTCACCCCTGATAATTTAAGTTTTATAATTCACAATGTCAAACATTTGTAATACAAAACTATTGGCAACAATATATACTTATACAAAAGTAAAAGTAGTCTACTTATACAAAAGTAAAAGTATCATTGTGCAGATTGGTCGATTTCAGAATAACATGATATGTTTTATAATGATTGATCATTAAAGTGTTATCAAAGCCGGTAAAGGTGCAGCTAGTTTGAATGACTTTGTATACTGCAGGGTAGCTTGCGAATTTACTCCAGGTGGAACTAAAGTCTGATTTAAGACTTGATTATATTTCACATCATTAATCAACATCTGTAAAGTAACTAAGGTACTAAAGTAATGTAGTGGAGTAAAAGTACACAATTTACCTCTGAACTGTAGTGGGGTAGAAGTGCAAAGTAGAAAACTGTTGATATACTCAAGTAAAGTACAATTGAGTTGTACAGTACTTCAGTTACTGTAGTTAGTTACACCACTGTTATTTGGTATGTTTTCAATGCTGGTTGGAAATAACAAATAATAATTTTGAAGTTGTCAAAAACAGTAATTGGAAGATTAATTGATTTAGAAATAATAAATAATTGCAGAAGCAGTTTTGAAATAATTCAATACAGAGATGCTGTTGGAGAAATACTGTTTTCTCCACTCTTTGGGTTTGTTTTAATGCACTGATATCATGTGCGGCTCTGAACTATGTACGACCTTGCCTCTTTATGATAGGAGCAGGCAGGGCATTTCAGGTTGTTGACCTTTATGAGGAGACAGGCACATACTTGTTGTCTCCTACATTATCTCACAACTTCTGGAAGTCCGGAAGTCGCAGATGACCCATCGCAGATGACCCATCGCAGATAACCCGACTTTCCGACACCCGTGGCTGATATTCCGACACCCGCGGCTGTGATTTACGACTTTGTTGTTATCTATCTCCGTATTTTGGGACATATAAGCCTGATGTTTTTTGCTGCTCCGTTGAGCAACATACCCCATGTGTGTGACTTAACCCATATCCTTTGTATGTGATTTAACTCTGCTCCTTCTTGCAAGAATAAACTAGAACCTGATTATTGATTCTCAACCTGGTGTCGAGTGATATTTTCCTAACAGATGCGAATGAAGTCATATTAGGAGGAAATTGCTAAAGAATGAAGGAATGAACTCACCGCTACTTGCCACCTCTTCTATGGACAGGCCCTTCTCATAAGCCATGTAGCCCAGGACGGAGAACACAGCAAAACCAGCAAAGATACTGGTGGCACTGTTCAGCAGACACAATGCCAAGCAGTCCCTGCAACACAACAGATGTGTGAGGAGTACTGAGATCACAATGTAACTCAAGTAAAAGTACTCATTTTCCAGTATGGCCCATATCAGATTACATTCCGTATTATAAATCCCAAAAACTACATTTGTAAAAAATAAATAATGTAGTCGAATAAAAAGTAAAAAAGTAGTAAAGTAAAAGTATAAATTAGCATAACATTGAAACACTCAAGTACAAGTACCTACAAATTGTACTCAGGCACAGTACTTGAGTAAATGCACTTAAACCACTGCATACCAAGAAGAAAAAACTGCACTGTCAAAGAGGAGGAGAAACCCCTTCTCGGTTAGGAGACCCCGGTTTAGGGCAGCATTAGGACCCAGAATCCCAACCCCCTTTTGAATCTTAATTATGCCAATTTTAATAATCCAAAAAACTGAGCATAGCCAGAGTCAAACACAAATATCACAGCTGTGATATAACAATAGCAGCAAAGCACACGTCATATTTCAGCATCAATCAAGGCCAAATCAACCACAGTTACCAAGAAACTACAGCTTATCTTATCCATGGTTTCTACTTCCCATGACATTGGGAATTCAAATTATCAACTGCTGTCAGCCTTTTCCAAGGAAGGGTGTTCTTACCTTACTCTAAGACTAAGCAGATACCTTCAGAGACCAGGAATTGGGTCGAGATGTACAAAGTACAAAACGGTTCTTTATTGGGTTTTTACAAAGAAGATGAAGGATACCAGATCCAACGAAAATTAAATACAAAGTTCAAAGTCAAGGTCCGGAAAATTTATAAACAGTCCTATAAAGCTCCAAAAACGGTCCTAGAACCCCCCAAAAAACGTCCGTTTTCTCTTCACCACATCATCTTTTATAACCTTTTCCGTCTTTGCGTAAAGAGGGAGTCTGCATAGTTTCAGGCTTTTACTTAATGAACAATTGACAAATCGTAAACAATCTAAATTAAGACAAATGAAGATTAACACATATAATATATGAAAGCAGAATACACTTGACAATGTCCATATGCTTCCAGACGGTTAGAGCTCAAATCCATAAATGGAAGTACACAGTTCACATCGTCGTTCCTGTGCACAATTGTACTTCTGAAGTATGAAGTTGTAACGTGTCCTCAATGTGTCCAAACAACCACAAGGCCTTCATTCCAATGTAAAAAACAGTCAGAGTGAGGATGCTGCTGTGTGTGTGTTGGCGTGTGCGTGTGCGTGCGTGGTCGTGCGTGCGTGCGCTGTGTGCTTGTGTGTGTGGTGTGGCACGCTGGACCTTGTGAGCAGTTGTTGTTGTATTTTGTTGTAGCTCCCCAGTAGAGTGAGACTCCCTGACAGAACCGGCGTAGGAGGAAGAACATCCTGAGTCCCTGCATCCAGCACACCTACAGAGGAAGAGATTTAAGAGGACCAACTCAGACGGACCTGGGATATTGTTAAGAATTAACCTGACACATAGCTCACCATAAAACTACTTTCCTAACAAGATAAAAATTGACCTTTATTAATCCCTGGTTAGGAAAT